CGGAGAAACCCAGATAACAGTAAGAAGAAAGCATTACAATCGCCGCCGCTGCAAAAACAGCGCCAGTTATCCTCAGAGACGCCATTGGAGCAGAATTGAAGCTTCTTCTTCGTCTTCTCCGTTTATCAAACCGGTGAAGTAATTAATTTAGGTCATCTTCATTTTTTTTATTTAAAACCCCCTAATTCTTACTTTAATTACAGATACGGAGCTAATGTTTTTAAATTATTAAATACGTCCTTCCAAATATATCAAAATCGTTTTTTTTTTGTTCTTCAACTTTCAAAACGATGTCGTTCCTATCTCGTCTTCTCCGTGTCAACACTTCCACGATCCGCCGATTTTCCTCCTCCTCCTCCGCCGCAATCTCGCCGCCTAAAAAGTCGCTTACCAGTATCGTTAATGACGAAAAAAACCCAAAACGTATCGTGGAGAAGTTTAAGAAGGCGTGTGAGTCGGAGAAGTTCCGGGATAACATAGCCGTGTACGATAGAACCGTGCGCCGTCTCGTCGCCGCAAAGAGATTACATTTCGTCAAAGAGATTCTTGAGGAGCAGAACAAGTACCGTGACACGTCAAGGGAAGGATTCACGGCGAGGATCATTTCCTTGTATGGAAAAGCAGGAATGTTTGAAAATGCACAGAAGGTGTTCGACGAAATGCCTGAGAGAAACTGTAAGAGGTCAGTCTTGTCTTTAAATGCATTGCTTGGTGCATATTGTGCTTCGAAGAAATTCGATTTGGTTGAAGAACTTTTTAGTGAGTTACCAAGCAAGCTATCAATCAAACCAGATATTGTATCTTACAATACTTTGATCAAGGCATTATGTGAGAAGGGTTCATTACCAGGAGCTGTTGAATTGCTTGATGAGATTGAGAACAAGGGTTTGAAACCTGATACATTCACGTTCAACACGCTTTTGTTGTCGTCATATTTGAATGGACAGTTCGAGCTAGGGGAAGAGATTTGGGGTAAAATGGTGGAGAAGAATGTAGCGAAAGACATCAGGACTTACAATGCTCGGTTGCTTGGATTAGCCAACGAGACGAAATCAAAAGAGTTACTAAATCTCTTTGAAGAACTGAAGACTAGTGAGATCGAACCTGATGTTTACAGCTTCAATGCTATGATTAGAGGATCAATCAACGCAGAGAAAATAGATGAAGCCAAATCGTGGTACAAAGAAATCGCGGAGCACGGTTATCATCCTGATAAAGCTACATTTGGTGTATTGCTCCCTGCTATGTGTAAAGTAGGCGACTTTGAGTCTGCGGTTGAGCTCTGCAAGGAGACATTCAGTAAGCGGTATCTTGTCGGTCCAGCGACATTGCAGCAGTTAGTTGATGAATTGGTGAAAGGGTCCAAGAGAGAAGAAGCTGAGGAGATTGTGGATCTCGCAAAGACCAGTGATTTCATAAAGTTGAAGCTAGTTTTGTCATCCAAGGAAGAGTAAGTGGTTCATTGTTACTCTCTTTCTCACTAGTGTCGTGTTGCTGTATGTGAGAATTGAGATTGTTTGTTTTAGAGTTTTAGAATAAGATTTAATCCAAAACTAGCAACACAAAACCGAAAAGCTGAAAGATGAGTTTCGTTTCACATGGAAAGCGATTGGCACGTCAATAGGTTGAATGACTTGTGGAGACAATCCACAACAACATTGCAGCGTTCAATGTGGCCGCGAATAGGTGTTCCGAATGGAGTCACACGCTTTTCCAACCTTATCACCGCACACCATATTTTCTTGTATAGATGAGAGTATGGATGAGGGCGGAGCCCATCTACAAATGTTTCCCCCTGGTTCCATATAACTAATTGAACCGTTTGGTACTCACGAGTCACGACGAGCACGCCTGACATACAGAGCTTTCAAATCTTCAACCATTAACCATTCTCCATACCTTGAGTCATACCACTTGTACTTACCGTCATGTTCCGCAAACAACACATTGTCTATAACGCAACAAGGTCCAGTTAGTATAGGTTCTACTAGACCCAAAAACCCCACAACATCTTGTACTCATTTTCCTTCTTTCGGATCGTATGCATACTTGTTCTTACGCTCGGTGATAACGCATAGCCTTCCTCCCAAAACTAACACTACGCCATTCTCACTAGGGCTTGGCAATGTCTTCCAAGTCTGAGTCTTTACGTCCAAAACCTCACACCAATTCTTCATTGATTCCTCCTCTGTTCCTCCAGTTTTACATATATTTTCCCGTCTAAAAACCAAGACTTGGCTCTTTCCCTTGCCACTGTCAGGTTAGGAGCACGACGCCACGTGTGACTCCGACGATCAAGCACATCAACGGCTTTGGATCGCTTGTCTTCCACGGTTCCACCCATCTGGTAGATCTCGAAACCGACGATGACACTGGTTGAGTTTAACCGAGTCGGATCATAGGAGTAAGAGCGTCTTACTTGTTCTGCACGTAACCTAGCCTTTGACGGATAATTATTCCATTTCCGATTAGGGTCCCAATTAATGAGACTGAACCAGGTATGATTGTTGCTCTTGGGTGACCACAAGAAAACGTAGAGGCAAGGCTCTGTGACTCCGATTTGGGATCGGACAGTGTAGATTCTCCGACTAGAGACAAGAGAGTAGAAGCTCTTGGACACAAAGCAGAGATGCCGGTAGTAAGATCTCGGTATCCGGGCTATGAAACTCTCAACAATTTCATCTGGAAGTGACGAAAACAACGACGGAGACGAATCCATCTTCTTCTTTTTCTTAGAAGCGGAACTATAGGATTCGTTAGGTCATGTACATTTATTTGATGTTGCTTGGTCTATTTCTTTCACTGTGATAAAAAACGGCATGTAGTCCATGTCTAAATAGAAGAAACGTTCGGCATTTGAATAAAAAAAAAAAATTCTTTTGAACATATGATATTTTGTTAATCTTTAAGAAGTTGTACATAAACTTTGAATATAATTGATGAATACAGATAAATGAAATATAACAAAACTCAAATTCTTTATTTTTGTATTATCCAAACGCCTGCAAATAATTTAATATAATATTTGATATGTCTATTTTTCAATCATATATAAATGCTTCAGACAACCAGCATTTGATAAAATTTTGGTTGGATTTAATTGTTTCGCTCAAAACCAAAAACAAAAAAACTCCATTAATTCATTTTTTCACATATGTTAACAAAAATTAATTATTCACATATTAGGTAAATGAAAATATTTGGTAAAAAGAGAAAAATGAAAATGAATATGAATATTCAATATCGGTGGCGTGGAGAGAAATATCGGAGATAGAGATAAACCGACTTCCAAACAGTGGATAAGTCTTTAAAAATGAGCCATTATCTCTGTATCCAAACAGTCTTTATTGTTTTATTTCCCTTTTTTTTTCTCCGATCATACAAAACCCTACTTCAACCCTTACGATTATTCCAGTGCTTGGAGAAAAACGCCGAAATCGAAAAATGGCGTCTATTGTTCTTCGATCTCGTCTTCTCTCGAGATTAGTAAAGTTTAGATCTCGTAATCCTAGGGTTTACTCTACTGAAGCTTCGAATTCTGCTTCGAGGGTTGAAGGAATCTCCGCTGGTCAATCGATCTTTTCCGATTTGCCACCGCCAAA